GCCCCTTCAGATTACCCCCAGTGGTTGGGGCTGCCATTTAGATCTGTTTGAGAAAGCAAGAAAGGAAAGCAAAGGAAGGGGTGACATTGTCTAAAACGAAATATACTTTCTACCTGACTCGTATAACTGTAACCCTCTGTTCCTCACCTTTATAATAACAATAAAAAATTAAAAAGAAAGCAAAAAAGAAGAAGGAAGAAGGGAGGGAGGGAGGGAAGGAAGAAAGGAAGGAAGGAAGGAAAGGAGGGAAGGAAGGAAGGAAAGGAGGGAAGAAATCATTCTACCTACCTGAAAAAGTTGTGCTAAAAAGTAAATGAAATGATGGAGGTGCAACAATCATTCTATGCCCATAAGAGAATAGCTATTGATACCAGATTTTTCCTGGGAATCGGGAAATATGCTCTCAGAATTCTCAGTCAGCCATTCCTATGACTATGCATGTCCCATTCTATGGGGGAAAATTTTTCAGTTTCAAACACCAGGATGTTCTCAACCTTCTCCAGTGTAGTTCCCAACTTACTGATGTTCAAATACACCAAACGAGCCAACTGAACTAAGTTCTCAAACTGCTCTGTCTTTTTTTGTTGTTGTTGTTGCTCATGGGGCCTGAACTCTGGGCCTGGGCGCTGTCCCTCAGCTCTTCAGCTCAAGGCTAGCGCTCTACCACTTGAGCCACAGTGCCACTTCTGGCTTTTTCTGCTTATGTGATGCTGAGGAATTGAACCTAGGGCCTCATGCATGCAAAGCAAGCAGTCTACCTTTTCAGCAGCCACCTTCCCAGCAGCCTGTCCTGTCTTTTTCTATATCTATGCTTTACTCACTGAGTTTCTTCCATTAGCACCACATCCATTCACACTGATAAATACTTTCCACCATTCAAAGCTAGATCAAGTACCACTTCTACCAGGCTTTCAATCAATTTAGCAGTAAAAAGGATGTTTCTGATTTTTTTAATCCTTTGGGTCATTTTGCACATTGAGTCTAGTCTTTAGGGACCATCTATCTGAATAAAGTGAATGAATTTTCCATTTCAAAAAAAGTAGGGGCTGGGAAGGTGGCTCAGTGGTAGACTGCTTGCCTTGCTGGAATGAGGCCCTGGGTTTGGTTCCTCAGCACCACATAAACAAAAAAAGCTGGAAGTGGCGCTGTGGCTGAAGTGGTAGAGTGCTAGCATTGAGCCGAAGAGCTGAGGGATAGCATCCAGGCCCAGAGTTCAGGCCCCACAACCAACAAAAAAAAGGACATGGGCTGGGAATGTGGCTTAGTGGTAGAGTGCTTGCCTAGCATGCATGAAGCCCTGGGTTCAATTCCTCAGCACCACATAAACCGAAAAAGCCAGAAGTTGAGCTATGGCTCAAGTGGTAGAGTTCTAGCTTTGAGTAAAAAAGCTCAGAGGCAGTGCCCAGGCTCTGAGTGCAAGCCCCAGCACTGGTAAAAAAAAAAAAGTATAGGGGCTGGGAAGGTGGCTCAGTGGTAGAGCACTTGCCTTGCATGCATGAGGCCCTGGGTTCAATTCCTCAGCACCACATAAGCAAAAAGAAAAAAGCCGGAAGTGGTGCTAGGGTTCAAGTGGTAGAGCACTAGCCTTGAGCTGAAGAGCTGAGGGACAGTGCCCAGGCCCAGAGTTCAGGCCCCATGACTGGACCCCAAAAAAAAAAGTATAGACTTATCAGTGGTATATGCAAAGTGATGTCAAGACCCAGATTCGTGGTATTTCCAGGGAGGAAGAAAGGGAGGTGTGTTAGTACACTTGTGTTACTATAACAAAATGCCTCAGACTACTTAAATTATCAACAACAGGGATTTATTGCTCATAGTTCTGGAAGTTAGCAAGTCCAATATCAAGGCACCTGCAGATTCTGTGTCCAGTGAGAGTCAATTCATAAATGGTGCTTCCTACATGAACTTCTATAACAAAAGGGGGAAAGGGGAACTCATTGGAGCCTCATTTAAATATAGGTACTGATCTGACTCATAATGGCTGACATTTTCATGGCTTAATCACTTCCCAAAGGTCACAGTTCTTTTTTTTATTGTTGATGTACAGTTACATAAGTCAGGTGCATTTCTTTTTGGACAATGTCACCTCATCCCCAACTCTCTCCCAGTTTCTCCCTCTAATTCCCACCCACAACATGTCTAGTGAGTACCTCTGCTAGTAAGGTCCCATTTTTCAATATATCATCATATTGAGGATTGGGTTCCAACATATGAATTTTGGAAGACAATAAAGTTCAGACCATAGCAGGAGGAAAGGTGGGGGAAAAAGGATGGGTAAAATAAAGTCAGGAATAGACAAAAAGAGAAAAGAAGGGATCAAAGGAGCCTGAGACAGTTAAGACACAGCCTTCTGAAAAGCTGGTGGCTGGAGCTGGGGGTTGGGGAGAATGGGGTAGGGAGATTAGACTCTCACTTAGGGTCAGTGTCAACAAATGTCAAAAGATCTGGAGGCAGGGACAATTTCACTCCAGGAACAGTAGCGTTCCTTCTACTTCTTCATGTGGCCTAGGGAAAGTCAGAATTTGAGATAATTACAAAACCTGATTCCATTGCCTAGATGGAAATGATTAGGCCCGTGAAAGAAGAAGAACTAAGGCACTAGGTGTGTGTGTGTGTGTGTGTGTGTGTGTGTGTGTGTGTGTGTGTGTGAGAGAGAGAGAGAGAGAGAGAGAGAGAGAGAGAGAGAGAGAGAGAGAGAACACCTGGATCTTGAACAAAAAGCCTGAGTGCTATCTCTGAACTTTATGTGGTCAAGGCTAGTGCTCTACTGCTTGAGTCACAGCTCCTCTTTCAGCTTTTTGGTGGTTAATTGGAGATAAGAGTCTCATAGACTTTCTTCAATGAGCTGGCTTTGAACCATGATCCTCAGATCTCAGCCTCCTAGTTACCCAGCCACCAACACCAGGCTTGGCACCAGGTTTTGAGGTTTTATGTGCCTACTAGCAACATAAGCAACTGGATAAAAACAGCTGGGAATAGTCTGGAAAGCTAGACTACTGAAAGTGTGATGCATCGAACAAGATCTCCCTCATATAGAAAATAGGGCTGTTTTAGCCCTTTCTCTTGGCCCAAAATTTGAACACTCCTATAATGTCCTTAGATGTAAATCCTTTGTGATTTCTAGAGAGTCAATATGCTTTCATGACTCAGAGAATCTGTGCCCCACATGCCACAGGGGAGGCTGATCCCCATTTAAAGTATGTACCTAGGAGCTTGTAGCAGATAGGGCTACTGAACTTGAATCCAAATGCCTGAAGGCCTTGACTATGGGAATAGTGGTCAGGGCCATGGGTGGGGTTCTGGAAAATCCACACTTCTGGAGCCCAGATTGATAAAAAGGTAGAAGAGAGCTCAGGATGCCTAGTTAGAAGTCATTTGTGCTTCTGTTCTTAAACTGTCATGCTCCTTGGAGATAGGCAGTTGCCCTGCCCTCCAAAGTGCTAAAGAATGAAAATCTGGAAGTTGAGTGGGACAGTATGGGTGAGTGGGCAGGAGCAATATGAAGATATCCAGTTTTCTTGACTTCCTAAAGTCTCTAAGGCACTAGTAGCTATGGAGAATGGGGAGTATAAAGAAGAGAGACAAAGCAATTTAAGGCCCCATCCCTTTCCCCATGATAGGAAAGCATGATATAAGGGACTGTGAAGGCAGCTCTCAGGAAGAGTTCTAAGTATTTACAGTGCTTCCTGATATAGATTATTTAGGCTCACTTCCTCTACTCCTTCCCATGTCCCTTTCCCCAGCCACAGTTGTACAGAGAAAAACCAAAAAGGTCTTGTAGAAGGATGAAGATTTAGCAAAATGAAGGTGCCTAGATTTAGGGGAACATCTGAACCCAGGGCCTATTTGCTTCCTTCCTTATCTCTGCTCCTATCACAGGGGTTGGACCCCTGGTGTGCTGTACTCAAGTAGACTATCTTCTGGTTTGGTTCAACCAATAAGAGGTACTAATCCAAGGAAAGGAAAAATAGAGAAAGCCAAGTACTTACCCTCTACCTTCTCTGCACCAACAGTGGCTCTAAGTTCCAGCTCCTGGCTCAGGTCATACCACTTTGTCCCATTATTCCTCCATTCTTTGTCTCCCCCTGCTCAGCGGTATTACAGGGAGGTTGACTTCTGGAGACTTTGTTTCTCACAATATAATATTAGCTGATTTCCAGTTCCCCCAAAGAGACAGACATCAGAGAAAAATTAGAGATCAGGATTGAGGAAATGAGAGGGCATTTTTTTCTTCTGCTTTGGACTGCATGTTTTATGTGTCAGTTTTGCTCTCATGGACAGACAGGCTTGTGATCCCAATTTCCAACAAGTGATCCTTGTTTCTGTACTCTAAAATACCTCCTTTCTCACAATGCTAGCTAGAGATCATGTTTGTTTCCTTCTGTCTCTGATCTTTAGGTTATCATTTTGTCCTGCTTGTATTCTCATAGGCTGAGAATTTATTTTCAGCATTAAATTCCTTGTCACAAATATTTGCTTATTTTCCTAGTGGATCTTGACTACAAACTCAACTTGCAGGAATGCATTCCATAACTTAAAGTGAGTGAATGGAAAGTTCATCAGCCATCTAACTTCAAGTAGTGAAAAACAGGGGTGGGGGGGGGGTGGATAGCCTTTGGAAACACACCTTGTAGTACCAGGCTCATGGGTTGGCAAGTTGATACTAATCTTACACTCAGTTGGGTTCTTCAGGACCTCGTCTTAGAGACAAGTGTGGTGAAAGGGTTTAGCCACTGGCTTACTTTTCTCTTTTGTTTTCCTGTGTTGTCACATGCCAGACCAATTCCATCCCTTCCTATAGCTGATCAGACCCCTTGCCCCAGTGACTCTCTTTCTCCCACATACACAAACAGCAGACACCACAGACTGATTTTGTTGAGGATTTTTATTGTGGAAGACAACATAAGAGAGCAACTCAAGTTGAATGGATGGAGCAATACAGCCCTTTAGCTACCTGGGTCTCCAGGTGGGTTTTTTGTTGTTGTTGAGGCCCCATGGATTTCTGATTATGGCAGGTGTTTAAGGTAGTTAATCAACACAGGAGGAATATCCAGCTTGTCGATGGCTTGTGGCTGGCTGTTCTTGCGCACAGCTCTGCGGATAACTAAACGAGCCTGGGAGAGGAGTGACCGTGGAGTAGCTGCATCAATGAGAAACAGGTAATAAGGAAAAATTCTCAATGTAATTATCCAGGCTGAGCCTACAGCCACTTGGCCCTGGTTTCTACTGCCCTAATGTCCTCTTCCGTTCTAAGAAATATCTCCTACCCTGCCTCTAATGCATGCTGCTGCTGGTGATACACAAGGCCTTGAGCTTCAGAGGAGGACCAAAAATCAAGAGCTTCCTCCCTCCCTCCCTTCCTTCCTCCCTCCTTCCCCCATCTTAGTGACTCTTGCATTAATGTGAAATCTGTAATTCCTCCCCACTGGGACCCCAGGAGAAAGAAGATAGAGTTTTCTCCAGTTCAACACAGAAGAATGGTTTGGATGATTTGGGGCTCTGAGACCTACAAACTAGGAGACCTATTGAAGTAGCCTGCTCACCACTCACCTCGGGCCTGAAGCAGCAATGCAACCCCTTTATCATCTTGCAAGGTCAGGTCCGGAGGGAGAGATGGAAGATAGATGTTAGCACCAAAATCGATTAACAGCTGGATGTACTCTGGCTCACAATTATGGTGGATGCAAATTTCGAGGAGGGTACGGGGCCGTGGAACACGAGCCAACAGTCCCTGGTCAGTGCAGTTGTAATCAGGATCTGCCCCATAGAGCAAAAGCAGGCGGAAACAGTCGAGGTGCCCATACACTGCAGCCAAATAGAGGGGGCCAGAACATGAAGCTACATTTGATGCCCACACTGGTAGTTTAGCCTTGACATTGGCCTCTGCACCATGGCCTAGAAGCTCTTGCAGAATGGCAACAGCACCATCACGAGCAGCAGCAAGCACAGGAGAACAGTTGTTGTAGATGCTCCCACCAGGACAGGCTCCTGCTTCTAAAAGCACACGCACACACTCCAGATGGCCATGACTGACGGCGGTAAAGAGTGGTGTCTGTGCCTTGACATCCAAGCTGTCAACATCAGCGCCATGTGCCAGGAGGACTCGCAAGCAGCTTGAGTGGCCATAAGAAGCTGCCAAGCGCAAGGGGGTCCCAGGTACACCCCAGCCACTCCTGCTGTTGATGAAACGTTTGTAACGTTCCTGGTGTAGAAGCTGGTCCAAGGTATAGGAGTCATTGTCATACACTGCTTGATTAAGAGCTTGTTTCTCTCCCATGTTGGTGTCCTCCTCCTCTTTTTCAGGCTGCAGGAGGGAGAAGATCTTGGTGATGTCCATGAGGTTCATCTTGGCTGATTGGAACAGAACTATTTTCATTATGAGGAGGAGGACATGCTAGATCTGTGGGTGACAAAAGATGGGGACTAAGGGTCCCTATGAACACCTAGAATGCCAGCCTCCACTTGAGCCTCTTGCCTGTTGCCCTTCAACACTAATTCATGGGTCTTCTCCTCATCCTCACTCACACTGTCATATTTCAAGCATTATGAATTGTGGTCAAAACATGTCAGGCCACATCACAGCTTGTTGCTTATGTAAGAGGCAACTTAAAACTTTTTCTTTTTTTTTTCTTTTCTTTTGTTGAGAAATGTTGAGTTTCTACTTGGGGGCCCATAAATTAACCGGGAGAAGGATAAAAACTAGACATCTCAGATTTCTCCATTTTGTATCTATATTCTTTGTCCTGAACTATTCTCTCCTGCAGTCACTTTATAGCTATCTTGGAATCCAGGAAGGGCTAGACCATCTGACCACTGTCAACAGCTCTCATTGTCCCACCTGAGTCAATGAACCGTCAGACCACCTGACACCACATCTAAACCTGACTTGGGACTGTTTTAACTATACATACATTTGTTACCTCTGTCCTCTGATTCTCCCTATTTAATCTGAAGCTAATGTCTGTGTCCCTGAAGATGGCTGAAGATATGTTGAAGTGCTGTCTTCCCATGGCTTCCATGTAATAAATGTCCTTTTGCTGCCTTTTATCAAAGCTCTTTGATGGCATATAGTGGGTAGTCACAGGACCTGACATGTGAGACTCTTGGAGTTTGGATCTGGGGTCTAAAAACCCAGTTTGAGCTTTGGTGAGTCAGCCAGAAGAAAATGCACTCTTTAGGTGCTAGCCACTCTCAGCTAGTCAATACTGAACAAAGAGGAAAGATGGAATTCGTTCCCTGAAGCTGTTAGAATCCCTTTTATTCGAGGGATGTTTCCTTTTCTTTCCACTTTGGCCAGCATTAACTGCTTTTTACCACCATTTGGTGAGATGCAGAAATGAATAAATTTGGAGGCCTTTTGAGTTGAATCACTGGCAAGTTCTCTCCAGTAGCGCACAACGACCTTGCTTTCTTGTGGTTTGAATAGGCCATTTGTTTTAGACAAGAAAAAAATCGAAATCTTGTGATTTGTTGTCTTGTTCCTCTCTTGTCAGATCACTTTTGGGCTATTTGAGGCTTAGGCCATTTATTTCTAGACAGGGAAATTTGAAACTCTGCAGGACCAAATAGTAGAGACAAGGTATAAGGATATAGTTGCTTGGGAGATCTCTGTTGTAATTTGCTTAAGAATGAAAAGTGCTAAATCTATCTTGCCCCCTAGGGAAAATTCTACCTCACTGTTCCACAAAAAGGGAAAAAGAAAAAACCCAAACTGCCAGGTGTGCGTGGCTCACACCTATAATGCTACCTACTCAGAAGGCTGAGATCTGAGGATTTCAGTTCAAAGCCAGCCTCAGCAGACATATCTAAGAGACTAATTTCAAATTAACTAGTAAAAAGATGAAAGTGGGAAGTGTGGCTCAAGTGGCAGAATACCAGCTTTGATTGAAAAAGCTAAGCCCTGAGTTCAAGCCAAATACAAGTAAAAATAAACAATAGCAACAGCACAAAAACCAAGCAAAAAGATAAGTTGGGTGCTGGGAAGGTGGCTCAGTGGTAGAGTGCTTGCCTTGCATGCATGAGGCCCTGGGTTCGATTCCTCAGCACCACATAAGCAGAAAAACCTGGAAGTGGCACTGTGACTCAAGTGGTAGAGCACTAGTCTTGAGCTGAAAAGCTGAAGGACAGTGCCTAGACCCAGAGTTCAGGCCCCACAACCAACAGAAAAAAAAAGATAAGTTCTCTAATACCGATCTCTGGATTAATGTTTGTGTGTATTATTTTTGTGTATATCTATTGTCTGTGTCTACGATGATTGGGTTGATGGAGGAAAAAAATTTAATAGCAGCAGCAACAACAGTCTTATTTAGAAATCCATTCTTGTTTTGGCTACCAAGATAAAAACCTCACAAAGTGAACAATGTTAGGCACAACTCAGTAGGTTCCTGGAATTCCTAGAAATAACTGACTGACATATTTATAGTCACTACAATGAATTTTTGCATTTCCTTGAGCTTGTTAGCACTTGAACCTAATGCCTAATATAAAATTGTTGTTTTTCACATATATGTATGTGTGTATGTATATTACTATCTTTAGGATGATTCTTAACTGAAAAATTAATGTAAGGAACTATTTTATATTTTTTCTTTCTCTTATTCTCTCTCTGTCTCTGTCTCTCACTTCCATATCACTTGTAATAAAACTTGTTTTCCAAAGTTCTTATTTCAACTAGGTCTAACTAAAATAACTCAGGCTCAGATTTAGGGTGGGGGAAGGTCATTTCAAACTTGAGGCTTAAACTCAAAGCAGGCTGCCTAATTTGGAGCTTGCAAAAGAGCTGAACAAGTAATCTTGATCTGTTTCATTCTGTCCTCAGTGTGATACAATCTAACTCTCTTTTACAGTATGAGTTTATCAATAAATTTTAAATAAATAGGGTTTTTTTGGTATAGAGAAATAGTTTAGGATTGCTTTCTATCTAAGTCCTCATTACCATATAACACATAGTCAGATAGGATAGCTCACACCCATTATCTCAGCTATGGTGAAAAGGTTAACTAGAAGGATCAAGGTGAAGACCAGCTCCAGCAAAATGTGAGACCTTAGCTCAAAATTAATCAGAGAAAAGAGAGCTTAGAGGTTTGTCTCAATAGTAGAGTGCCAGCCCAGCAAGCACAACCCAGAGTTCAAACCTCAGCACTGCAAAACTCTATGCAAGGCTATGAACAGTTTCTTGTATTGAAAAATAAAATCAATTTTGTCTAAATTCAAATTTTTGTAAGTTAATTTAAACTGCACATTAAAAAAAATCAGCAAGTGGTAGAGAGCACTAGCCTTGAGCTGAAGAGCTGAGGGACAGCACCCAGGCCCAGAGTTCAAGCCCCACAATTGACAAAAAAAAAATCAGCAAGTAGGAAAGATATACAATAAGTTATTGGGAATATGTTTTTGGAGAAGGAAGTTAAAAGGAAAGGGAATGCTTGTGTGTGTCTTTGTCTGTATCTTTGTGTTTCTGTGCATGTATATGCATGCTTGAATCCAGACCTTGGCATTGTCCCTTAGCTTTACCAGTCAAAACTGGTGCTTGAGCAGACAACCCCCACTTCTGAAGGTATGATTTTAAATGAGGGGTTTTTGGAGAATGAGTTTTGACCTAAAGTGTTCATTCCAAAATGGGGGCAAATAAAGAAACCAACAAACAGGCTAAGACAAATATCAGAAGGCTCAAAGGCAAGTTGTGCTATATGTATGAGGTCTAAAGTGAAAGATGTAATATATGAAAAGTGTGTGTGCAAAATTACATCGGTTGGGGCCTGAGAATATGGCTTAGTGGTAGAATGCTTGCCTAGCATGCACGAAACCCTAGGTTAGAGTGCTAGCTAAGCAAAAGAAGCTCAAGGAAGTGCCCAGGCTCTGAGTTCAAGCCCCAGGAATGGCAAAAAAAATTAAATTGGTTGTAACTAAAATACCTAAAGAATTTTCTAAGGTCAAAACTAAAATCTAGGCTGGGAATGTGGCTTAGTGGTAGCATGTTTGCATAGCATGCATGAAGCACTGGGTTTGATTCCTCAATACCACATAAACAGAAAAGGCTGGAAATGGTGCTGTGGCTCAAGTGGTAGAGTGTTAGCCTTGAGAAAAAGAAGCTCAGAAACAGTATCCAGGCCCTGAGTTCAAGCCCCAGTACTGGCAAGAAAACAACAACCTAAAACCTAAAGCCTAATTCTCTATCAGGTGTCTTAAAGATATTGTTCTTATTTTTGTAATATTTGCAAAAAATAGCTTAGAAAAAAGATGTATTTTGTCAAGATAATTGCTCCTTAGGCATTTAAATATTTAGAAAACTAAACATTAAATCAGAGTTCATTTATAACAAATGTCTATATGTACATATGGTGTGTGTGTGTGTGTGTGTGTGTGTGTGTGTGTGTGTGTGTGCATTGGTACTGAGGCTGGCACTCTACTACTTGAGCCACAACTCCACTTTTTTGGTGGCTAATTGACAATAAGAGTCTTTTGAATTTGTCTGCCCAGGCTGGCTTTGAACTGGGATCCTCAGATCTCAGCCTCTTGAGTAGCTATTATTACAAATGTGAGCCACTGACACCCAGCCCTTACTTACCTTAATCAAAATGATTTTTGCTGGTTTAATTTGAAATAAGATTCTTGAGATTTGCCTACCTGGGTTGGCTTCAAATGTTGAGTCTCAAATTCCAGCCTCCTGAGTAGCTAGGATTATAGGCATGAGCCACTGATGCCTGCTGTATATGTATGTCTTTTTTTTTGGTGCGCTGGTCCTGGGACTTGAAATCAGGGCCTGACACTTCCCTTGAACTCTTTTGCTCAAGGCTAGTGCTTTACCACTTGAGCCACAGCTCCACTTCTGGCTCTTGTGGCTAAGAGTCTCATGGACTTTTCTGCCTAGACTGGCTTCAAACCTTCATCCTCAGGTCTTAGCTTCCTGAGAAGCTGGGATTATAAACATGAAACACCAGGGCCCAGCTGTTGTCCAAAATTTTAATCATGGCTATTCAAACTTTTTGTCATTGCATTTGGGTCCTTCTTTGGACCATTTGCAATCAATCTCATGTAAAATGACTCCAGAAAATACTTAACTTTCAAACAACTTAGCAGATTTTTTAATGGCAGACAAGACTAAACTTAATAAAAACAGGTAGCTGGGCACTGGTGGTTCATGCCTATAATCATAGCTACTCAGGAGGTTGAGATCTGAGGATCATGGTTCAAAGCCGGCCTGGGCAGGAAAGTCTACAAGATTCCAATCTCCAATTAACAACCAAAAATCCAGAAATGGAAACAAATAGCATTTCCTGATTAAATGAAGAAGTGGTATTGCAAAGAATCCACTTCAAGGAAAATGAAGAAACAGATATCCATCAGGAAACAGTTGATGCTTTCAGAGCCAGTTCTCACTGGTGACAATTAGTTTCTTCCCCAAGACCACTTCAAGCCAAGGTGACCCTTTGATTGTCAACACCTCCTCAAACCATTGCTTTCCATCCTTCTGATGGAAGCCTTACCCATTCTCTCTTGTCAATCCACCTTGGAGTCTTGACACAATCCTCAACTCTTCTCATTCCACATTCCCCAGGCCCCATGAAAACACTCACGACCCAATGGCTGACTCAATCCCAAACCCAAACCTTACCAATTCTGTTCCTAGTTTTCTTCAGTGTGTGGACATCAGGGTGAGTTGGTAGGTTTCTCAGAGTTTGAACCTCTCTTATTCATCCATATCCTGCAGCTGAAATCCCAAGACCTTCACTCACTTTTTATTCACTCTTCCTCCCCACCCCTCTTTGTTACCCGGATGCCTCAGGTACTCTCCTCTTGAAAGAAAGTTATGAGGTGGATGAATGAAGTCACTCTCAATGTTAGGCCTCCCTCTACCTGCTACCAACACCTCCATATGTGATCTTATTATTTTTTGTTGTATTACTCATACAATAGGAATATAAGTTTGGAAATGAGGCAGGCCTATAATTACAAGTCAGTACCCCTAGCTTGTAGCAAGTGATCTTGAGCAAGTAACCCCTTCTTAGTGCCTCAGTTTCTCCCTTCTTAGAAATGATAGCTCATGCTTCACAAGGCTGTTATAAAAAAGAACACTAGCCTGATGCTAGATCTCCAAGAGCAAGCTTCTTTTCTCTACATGCCAGCTCCTCTCTCTCAACTATCTCTACTTCGTATGTAGATGGTTTCTATTGCTACAGCTCCATACTTAATGTCCTATAACTTCAAAGCTGGAATAGACCTTGTGGATAATTTAATTTCTTTGATTACAGATGGAGAAACCAAGGCTTGGATGAGAGCCAGGACTTTCCTAAGGTCACAAGGCTGTTACTGTGAGTTCTGTATGGACTTGTGCTCTTCCTTAGCCTTTTCTGCTCAAGGTTTGCATTCTTCTACTTAAGCCATACCTCCGCTTTTCAATCTAATGGACTTTTCTGCGCTAGATGGCTTTGAACAGTGGTCCTCAGATTCTCACCCTCTCACTTGGCTTGAGTGAAGAAGCTCAAAGTTGGCATTCTACTTCTTGAGCCAAACCTCCACTTCTGGCTTTTGACTGATTAATTGGAGATAAGAATACCATAGACTTTTCTGCTCATGCTGGCTTTGACCACATTCCTTAGATCTCATTCTCCTGAACAGCTAGGATTGCAGACATAAGCCACCAATGCCTGGCTTGAGTTATGTTATCAAGAACCCAGAACACACATATTTTTGTGCTTTTCAAAGTTATTCTTTTTTTTAAGCTTTTTTTTTTTTTTGAGACAGGGTCTCACTCCGTAACCTAGGCTGGCCTTAAACTCACAATCCTCTTACCTTAGCTTTCCAAGTGCTGGGATTACAATTATGTACCACCACACTTGGTTCAAATCTACTTCATGTAATGGGCTAGAGGATATTAACCCCATTTTATGGATGATAGGCTAGAGGATATAAGATTTTGAGAGGTATGCCACATCAAGGTAACACCAGAGGCAGGAACAGAATTTAGGTTTTTCCACTTCCTATCCAACATGAAACAGAAAACACACACCCTTCTCCCTGCTTCAAGTAGAGTTATAGGGCAGCTTCCAGGATCCTCACTTCTCAGAGTCAAACCAAATTCCAGGGACTTTAGTAATGGAAAGTTCATTTGTGAATCTTATCTCTGACAGTAGGGACTTCTTTTTTGCCATTTTTTATCTGGGGACTTGAGTTTGGAGAGCTGAAGAAAACAAGGAGCAGTGGAGGAAATTGCTGAAGCCCTCATCTAGGTCATACCATGAACCCAGAGTGAAGCCCATACAATGAGTCTTCAGATTGAGATGAAGCTATGGATTCTGGGGCTTTGCTACTCAGGTGAACTGTGTACCCATTAGACAGTGACAAGAAAATCCAGTGTCACTATTTCCTAACCTGAATGGCTATAGTTTATTCATCACAGAGTAAGTGTGTGGTGGGTGTCAGTGGCTCACGCCTGTAATCCTAGATCTAATTCCTGAGTAGCTAGGGTATCTGAAGATTGAGTTCAAAGCCAGGCTTGACAGGAAAGTCTGTAAGACTTATCTCCAATTAACAACCAAAAAGCTGGAAGTCGAGCTGTGGCTCAAGTTGTAGAGTGCTAGCCTTGAGAAAAGAAAGCTAAGGGACAGTGCCCAGGTTCTGAGTTCAAGGCCTACTACTGGCACTTATACACACACACACACACACACACACACACACACACACACACACACACAGAGTTAGTGTGAACTTGCTATAGACAAAGAGCCTCTGATTTCCAAAGTGCACGGTTGTGTGTGTGCATATGTGTGCTAGTCCTGGAGCTTGAACTCAGGGTTTGGGCATTGTCCTGTAGCTTTTTTGCTCAAAGCCAGCACTCTACCACTTAAGCCACAGCTCCACTTATGACTTTTTAATACTGGTTAATTGGAGATAAGTGTCTCATGGATTTTACTGCCCAAGCTAGCTTTGAATGGTCTTCCTCAGATCTGATTCTTGAGTAGCTAGGAGTACAGGTGTGAGCCACTGGTAGCCAATTCCAAAGTGCACAGTTTTAAAAAATGTTTTTCATGACCTTAACATTAGTGAGATCTATTCACCCCTTTCATTGTATTTTTAGTATATAAAATAAGAACTGAATGCCAAATGATTAAAAATATAAACAAATACATATGATTAAAGAAAACTAATTATATTAAAATACTTCTATCAAAACATTTTTAACAAAATATTATAGTAATAGATGTTCTATATTGACATCTGAAATAACAAGCTCTACTGAAAATTTCTAATTGAGGAAAGATTTAAATGAAACTTCTTCTCTGCCACCGTGTCATATGATATAAAATGTCTGTCATTTCTTCTGGTGACCAAGTTATGGGAACTGTGGCCATTTGTTGCCTGAATTTATCCTTGAAAGAAATGGTAAGTTTCAGTTAGAGATTAGAGGCTAGAAGACAAAAAGTAATTGTTTAACTCTTCCAAGTTTCTGAATCCTCCTTATTTTATCTAAAATCCTCCTGGAATCTTAGAGGCTAGGTTAAGAATTCCTTCAGGAGAATGGCAGATTTCTGTGAGACATAGAGTATTCAGGCATTAGGAGACTATTTAAAAAATCCCCATCCTCCTCCCATTCTGAGGAGCTTCGCAGTCAAGCCCACTCTGCTATCCCCCTCCCCATATACAGACACACAAACACTGCACAGATACACAAAGCCCAACCTTAGTCCTCCTTGGTGTATAATCTGCAAATGCCTCAAGAAGTAGTTCCAGTCAGGCAGTGTAATCACCACTGTGAGAGGCAGAGACCGGAGGACTACCAGTTCAAGTCCAGCCTGGGGCTATTTAGCAAGTTTAAAGTCAGCCTAGCTAGAGCCTGTCTCAAAACAACAACCCCCCCCCCCACACACACACAATTTTTTAAAAAGCAGCAGAATAGATCTGGGTAGATCCCAGACTCTAGGCAAACACCCTTTGGGATAGATGAAGCCAGAAGGTGGCTTGAGATCTTGTGATCTTTTCTGAAGCTTTTTCCCTTATCAACCTCCCAAATGCTCCCAGGATCAGAGCAAATAGCAAGTCTTATTCCTCCCTGTCACATTGCTGGATCCTAGGCCCCTAATACTCACAAGACTTGCCGCAGCCAACGATGCTGTGTAGAACTGGGGTCCTTTTGCTGCACCTCTGCGAAGTACACTAGTGCCTGTTGATTCTTTCACCGGGAGCTCCTGCTGCCCCAGTCTGGAGCACGGTGGGTCCTCTGTTCCCAGTGTTAACCAGTGGAAAGGCTATAGGCTGGCTGGGTTCAGGGGCTAATTTTAGGCTCCCCTCCCCCCCTCCCCCCCCCCCCTCGCTCCAGACCGTGTTATCTTACCAGTGCCATTCTGAGAGTGATCCCAGTGAGAAGAGGGAGGCCGCCCACGGGGAACTCCTGGAAGGACCAACAGAATGACAGGTGTTTGGTGAAGCAAGGGCTCCTGCTCGTGTCCTTGCACACCCTACTCCACTGCTGAAATGGGTGACAAGATGAGGTGCCCTAAGCTGCAGATGATCCCGCTCTTCTACCAAGGGGCTTGAAAAGGCTAGTGGTGCCCAGCATACCTATCTCGGAGCTGGTGCCTCTTTTCTCCTCTGAGTTTAATCTCACTGGATTTCGTTTGTCTTTTCTTTAGGGCACAATATCACAGTGCCCTCCCTTGCCCTCCCCATTCCCTAGAGTGAGGGAGGAGTATGGAAAGAAGCCAACATACTAGAACACCTTCTCAGTGTTTAGTGTTTCCTGAAGGGTTTTTGTTTGTTTGTTTGTTTGTTTGTTTTGGTTGTGCTGGTACTAGGCTTTGAACTCAGGGCCTTGCCTTCTCACTGAAGTTACTTGCTCATGGCTGGCTCTCTACCACCTGAGCCTCACTTCCAAACCAAGAAAAATGACAAGAAACCTACACAAAGTCAAGAGGAGGACTTCTTTATATAAAGAGCCAGTTTATGTGGCTTTGAAATTTAGGTTTATTTTGTTGTTGTTACTGTTGTTTTGATTTTTGTAAGCATAGTAATTGAACTCAGGTTCTCAAACTCCTCAATTTACTTGCTCATGGCTGTCACGTTACCATTTAAGCATCTCTTCCAGACCAAGAAAACTTGCCAGAAATTTACACAAAGTCAAGAGGAGGACTACTTTGTGTCAGGAGGCAGCCTTTGAGGCTTTGATATTGGGGTATTTTCATCTTTTTTTCTTTTTGTGCCAGGGTTAGATTTGAACTCAGGGCCTCAAACTCCTTCAACTTGCTTGCTCAGTGGGCGGTCTGTCACTTGAACTGGACCTCTAGCATTATCAGTGTTTGTAAAGCTTAAGAAGATTTCAGTCTTTTATAAAGAAACCTCCCAATCCACTCACTCACCAGTCTCAGCCTGAGGAAAATGCCCATCATCTGACTTTTTGCAGTCCTAAAGCAGCACCAGCATGTTAATGTGTCCAGGACTGGGAACTTTGTCAAGAGCTCAGCTCTTGAGTATCATTTTATCTCTTTGGTTGCCTGTAAGTGATAGAAGTGGCAAAGGAAAAAATTTTTAGAAACAGTCAGCTTCTATTTTAGGTGTCACACAAAAAGAATATGTGAACCAGCATCCTGCTGGCCTCTGGGTAAAAGGCCAGTTCGGCATTAGGTCTAGAACTCACACGGTGATCTGATCATGTCTGAGAAACTGGAGAAACTATCCATAAGCTACCTATAGATAAAATTTACATGTAGGAAAAACCATGAGAAAAATCAAGACATAGTATCCCTTAAAAAGTTCACAGTCTATTAGGAAAAAATACACACAGAAAGAACTATATATTTTGTGTAATGCAAAAATGCCACAAGTGGCCAGGCACCAGTGGCTCATACTTATAATCCTAGCTACTCAGGAGGCTGAGATCTGAGGATCGCATTTTTTTTTTTTTGGACATAGTGAAAGTTTATTAGGAAGAAATATGGCAGATAAAGGTTAGGTGTCATGATGTCACAGGAAAAAAGCATTTTAATTCATTGAGGATTGCATTTCAAAGATAGCCTGGGCAGTAAAGTTCCTGTGAAATTCTTATCTCCAACTAAACACTCAAAAACCCGAAGTGGCTGCCGTGGCTCAAGAGGTAGAGTGTGCTAGCCTTTAGCACAGAGGCTCATGGGCAACAGCCAGGCCCTGAGTTCAAGCCCCACAACTGACAGAAAAAAAAATGCCACAACTAGAGCCAGGCACTAGTGACTCATGTGTATGTTTGTAGCTACTCAGGAGGTTATCTCAGGATCATAATTCAAAGTCAGCCCAGGCAGATAAATTCATGAGGTTTTTATCTCCAATTAAATAGCAAAAAATGGAAGAAGTGTGTGACTCAAGTGAGAATACCAGTCGAGTGAAAAATCCAAGCAAGAGCTTGAGGTGAAATTCAGGTCCCTCTACAGGCAAATACATACAAAACAAATACCTTAACTGAAAACTCTAGATGCTTATTGTTATTCCGTGTCTATGTCAGTCTTTCAAATCAATCTAAGGGCGCTAATTTGGAGTTCAGGGTTATATAAATTTGAGAATTGTCTTTTCTTAGTGAAAAATGTCATTCGGATTTTGATCAGCATTGCATTGAATCTATAGATGGATTTCAGTAATATAATCATTTTTCCCAATATTAATCCTGCCAGTCCATGAACCTGCAGTCTTCATTTTCTAATGTCTGTATTTTCCTTAGTGTTTTATATTTTTCACTGTAGTCATCCTTAACCTATTGAGTTGTTTATTCATAGGTGTTTATCCTTTTTATCTCTTCCTCTTTTTTTTTTAGCAATTTTTTTATTGTGATTAAGTGATTACATAACTTTCACAAATTTCACAGTATTGTGAGATAGTGATAAAAGTCACAAACACATTCTAACCTTCATGAGGCAAATTGTCTTTATCGTGGTCTATAAAGTTTATGAATTCTATGAACATTGACAATATACTTATTTCTTCCACATCGGGTGATATGTACATTTCTTTCCTTTTGCTTAGTGTCAGCTGTTCCCTCTTTCCCTCTCCTTCCCTCCCTCCCATCACTGCCATTGATTTGTTTAGTTCATTTTGATCAATGTCCAGTGCAGCTGATGGGTCCCACTGTTGTATGTTTTCCCCTGTTTCTGTGTCTTCCTCCTAGTTACCCTCAAATGTGCACATATATACCATATATTTGGTCAGCAGCATGAGGTCATTTAGAAATGATTTGACCATATGAGTGGAGGTCCTTTGTTTCTCCAGTCTTGTTAACTTTGTCTTATCTCCTTTTGGATTTAACATCCACTTATCAGGGAGTTAAGTTTATTCATAGGTGTTTGTATCCTTTTTATCTCTTCCTCTTGCCTTGTTGCCCTGACTAATAATTCAAGCACTGTATTGAATAAGAGTGGAGAGAGAGAGAGAGAGAGAGAGTAGACATACTTCATTTCTGAATTTTAAAGAGAATGCTTTTAGTTTTCCTCATTTAGTAGAGTATTGGCTATGGACTTTTCATAAGTTGACATATGATCCTTCTATTCCTAGTTTCTGTAAGGAAATGCCCACCTCGCAGGCCTAATCAACGCCCTCGATGGCAGCGCCTGCGCAGTAGGTGAGGCACCGCCCATTTCCGGCCTCCAATATAAAAAGGGCCTCCAAAGAGCCGGACAGCGCCATTTTCTCCCTTTCCTTGTCAGCTCTGCTGGCAATACATCTTTCCTTCTACTTCTGTCCGCGTGGTCTTTTGGGTTACTTTCTTTGGGTTACTTCCTACCCAGGTTTACATTTTCTCCTTCAGTTCCCCCAGACCTTTTAACATGAAGGGGTATTGAATGCTGTCAAAGGGTTTCTTCTGCATCTATTGACATGAGTATGTGATTTGTTTGGTCACTGATTCTATTTATTTCCTATATTATTTTCATTGATACATACATGTTGAACTATCCTACATCCCTAGAATGAAATCAATTTCATCATGTATGATGAGTTAATGTTGTTTTGTGAAACAGGGTCTTGCCATATAGCTCCCTCTCCACCCTTTCCTCACCCTCACACACACACAATAAATCCTCTGAAATTGTGAGCCAGAAAAAGAAAAAATCTTTCCTCTTTTGTTTCTCTCAGGTTTGGGGTTTTTGCTTTGTTTTTTTTTTTGGTTGCCAGTCCTAGGGCTTGAATTCAGGGCCAGGGCATTGTCCCTGAGGCATTTTCCCCCCTCAAGGCTAGCACTCTATCACTTGAGCCACAGTTCCACTTCTAAATTGGAGGTAAGAGTCTTAGGAATTTTCATGCCTGGACTGGCTTCAAACTGTAAGCTTCAGAGCTCAGCCTCATGAATAGCTAGGATTACAGGCATGAGCCACCAGTAATCAGCCCTCGGGTATTTTGTCACAGTGATGAAAAGTCTGATCCACACACTAACATTTCATTTTCTTTCTTCAAGTTTCTATTTTTTCATATAGATTACTCATCTGGTCTCACATGTTACTCATTTTTCATTAGTGGTCTCAGTATATTAACCTCAATTCTCTTCAATGTGTAGTCTGGTATTTTAACAATTATTCCGTACTGAATCTGGGTCTGAAGCTTGTTTTCTCTTTGCATTGATATGAAGGTTAAGCTTTTAGTGCACACTGTGTGTTTTTTTGTTGTTGTTGTTAGAAAGCCAGACATGATATGCTTGGTAAAAGGAACTGACATAATGTCCCCTACACAGAGGTTTTATGTTTAGCAAGCTAGGGGTTAGGCTGTGTTTACTATTTCCATAGCTGTAAGTATTAGAAGTTAAATTTTCTTCTGATGTCCTTGTTTCTTCCCTGTTGTCTTTGAAGTTTTCTAGAGACTATTTATTCAATGCCAGTATAGTTAACTGGAGATAAGAGTCTCATAGACTTGCTTGCTCAGACTGGCTTTGAACTATAATCCTCAGATCTCAGTCTCTTGAGTAGCTAGGACTACAGGCATAAGCCACTGGTGCACGGCTGCTGTTAAAGATTTTTTTAAAAAATCGACAGGTAACACTGTATTTATCATGTACAACATGATGTTCTAATGTGTATATACTTTGTGGAATGTGTAAATGTAATTAATTAGCAAATGGAATACCTCACATAGTTATCTTCTTAAAACTTTTTATTACCATATATTATTGGCACAATAGGTTTTACCATAAGATTTTCATACATGTATATACCTTACTATGATTCACCTCCTCTATTACCCTCTTTAATCCTCCTCCTCTTTCCCCAGTCACATCCCTAACAGTTCTTCCTTTACTTTCAAGTCCTTTTTTTCTTCTTCTAAGTTCTACATATAAGAGAAGACCTGTGTTACATAGCTTTATGAGACTGGATTATTTCACTAAACATGATTTCTACTTCTGTCCATTTTCTTCCAATCAAG